CTGCTTCTTCGACTTGTGACGTCACGCACGCCGTGACAAAATGGCCGTCGCCGTCGTCAGTGGGTTGAGTTTACAGCCGGTAGCTACTACGGGTTATTTTGGACTGAAATAATCTCAGACAGTCCAGTTTTCTTGCGTGTACAAGCATATTTGACCCCCTACCTTCGTTTTTCGTCGAAAACCATCAACTGTTGGGTGACCGTGTCATGACCCCTTTAATATATTAACTGAAGTTAAGGAAAGTAAATTAGTCCCAGGAATTTTTCTCGTGTTCACTGAAGCATTCGATCTTATAAAGCACACCCTTTTATTGGAGAAACCGTTACACAATGGCTACCACGGCAAAGCGGCACACCTCATAAAATCCTACCTACATTATCATATCCAGAGAGTCAACATAAACCAGGATCTCTCTAGTCTCCTCGTTGTGTCTTCAGGTATGCCACAAGGCTGTATCTTGGTTCTATTCCTTTTTAATCTCTATATGAGTGACATTATCAACATAAACCTTTAGGCAAAATATATAATTTATGCTGATGATACTAGCATCTTTTTAATGGGGAATTCGGTTGAACTTGAACTTTATTTATTTCGCAACTATACATTGTACAGATAACAGGGACACAGACAAAAAGCCACATTACGGCTTGACGAGGTCTGTTTGATCTGGTTGATGATTTAATAGATGAAGCCAACTTAACCTGACAAAGTTAGACGAATAGGTTAGTCAAAGCAGTTTTAAATAAATGAAATAAAAAAAGCCATGTTATTTCATAGTAAAAATAAAAAGATTACTGTTAATGAAGATATTACACAAAACTCCTCGTTCATCACCCCCGTATCTAGCTTTCAAACATTGGGCGTCGTCTTTCAGGAAACATTATGCTGGGATGCACATGTCGATTGCCTAGCAACTAAGTTGTCTCAAGTGAGTGTCATTGTTTTTCGTAATCATCATACACTGCGACAATGTTATGATGCTAATTTTCAGCAGTTTATTTCAGTTCAGAATTAATTACTATCATTTAGTTTGGTGCACCACTACTCTAGGAAATCGACACAGAATACACGTTCTACAAGAAAAAAAAAGTTCCTACGCAAATGTTTCACCAACAAGCCCACATCGCCACTCTTGTCATACGCACAATTGAAACTGTCTCATTCCCACACGTGGGTATTTCTTAAAATATAGGATACTGCCAGCCTCAAGATTATATGATTACTGTTTGTGTAACCAAGAGTAGAAAACTAGATCAGATTTTCTCAAGTGCCTTTCCAGGTTGCAAGAAAACACCCCTGTATATGCAACAGATAAAAGGGAATATTGGAAAATACCAACATTGTGAACAAGATATGGAAAAGAAAACTCTGAAATAAAAATAACTTACCAAGATTATTAAACAGAATAGTTTTTTAAGAGCAACAATTAAAGAACATGTCTTTTAAAGCTATACACAGTTATTTTGAACTCAAGACAAATGTTCTTAAAAACATTTTTTTGATGCCTCTCACTTCTAAGTCTTGCACACATGTATGTTTTTTTTTTTCGGTGTTATAAAATAACCAAGGTTATGTGTGAGTAATGTTATTATTATGCTGCGGTTCTTTCTTTTTTTTTGTCTCTGCAATGGATTGCAATTTCGTAAAATTAAACATTATTGTACTCTTTCTATATATTTCTTGCGTTGTATATTGCTGAGAATGTTGGTATATTGTTAATGTATTGCTGCTGTTAAGCGCAATGAGGGGGCCGGCAACATCTTCAAGCTGTCTGAACGACAGCTTTTCCCGCCCGCCCCTTCGTATCAATCACTGTGTTGATGCGAAAATAAGTCATTGTCATTCTCATATGGTCCGAACCTATTAGCAAACCAATACCAGTGTCTGGTGTGTCCTTAGACAGGTAATCATTCATGAGCATCTTGCCTTGTCTCTAATTCTTTTATGAATGCGTTGTTGGCTGATGACAGTCACATTGTGGCAAATGGCAGGGGAGGCTACAGCTTCTATGCAAAAGTAAAGTCTTGCCTCGCCTATGAAGCTGTCTTTCAACCATGTTCCGCTTTTCTGTAGCTGAAGAGAAAGTGTTTCCGAAAGTGCTAATTGTGTCTATCTGACTGCCTTCAGGTTAAGCTTACGAGCCTTATCTTCCTTCCCGCCATCCAGAATACCTCGAACGCATTGCTTATTGTCATTGTTGGTCAACTCAGTGCGGAATGTCTGGACCGCATTTTTCTTAAGTGGTTGGCCAGTGGACAATACATCTTCGCAGTAGCGTTTGAAGAAATGCACATTGTGGCACTTTCCGAGTTTCCTGTGGTCATCGAAGGTCTTAGGTAATAGGACAAGCATTGTTTGAAATGTGTCCTTCGCGGCAAGAACTCAGCTTAATCGGCAATTTTTTGTTTGGTGGCATTTTGATGTGTAGCGAAAGCATTGGTTATTGTTTGTCAACCGCTCCTTCCTGAGAAATATTGGCATTGCAACTGCGTGCCCTTTGCTCATTGGTATAGCACCTTGCTTAGATGTGGTGTACTCAACTGATGCCGCCATTTCTTCAGTCTCAGCGATCCTCTGACATGGCAGTGCATGCTGGTTTTCGAGTTCCATTTATGTGAATAAAAGTAAGTCCTTCGCAGCTGACACCTCTGCTTGTGCACCCGACAAGGAGCCTTGAGCAGCACGTACATTGGAAGGCCGTGTCAAGGTGCAGCGCCGATCATCTCATGTGAAACAGACTGATGCCCTGTGGTCGAGCCTGCTGCAAGATGTCGAGAAGCATAGCCGAATATGTAATTGTCGGCATGTTAAGCACTCCAAGGCAGTGAATATTCAGTTGCGTGGCATCATACTGTCTTTGGAACCCACGGATGTTGCTAGTGGATGTGACACTTGGAAGATTTTTCAGCACCATCAGATGGGGCTGAGTAATCGTAGTTTTGTCACTGAATCTTTCCTCTAACGTGGCTATGGCAATCGCATATCAAGATTCAGTCGTGGGAAACCTGAAATCACTGATGCTTCGTCACCAGACAGAGGTGGGAGAATTGAGTGGATGGCATCAGGTGGTTGTTCAGATTAACAAGCTCTTCAAATTGCTCCCAGAAGCCTGTCCTCTGTGTGATATTTCCTTTGAATGGTTGGATCAGCAGCTGCTGTAACTGGGGCGCCATAACTCTTGCAGGAGCCTCGTTTCTGAAACCCGTTGCTTCTGCATTTTCGGTACTGCGAGTTTGACCATGACTTTTCGGCGTGCTGACTGCTTCATCCTGATACTCCCCTGTCGCTGTATATTCTTAATAAAATATTTGTGGTGCAATTAGTACTAGGAAGGAAAAAAAGGAGGAGACGGAATAGGGTGCAAATATTTTATTAAGCTATGCACGAACTTGCCCAACATTACACTTTGCTAATGCTGTATATTCCTCTTTGATATGGTCTGTTAGGATGTAGTGCACATATTGCCAATTTATCTGGGAGAAGTCGTTCTTACTCGAGGAGCTGTACAACTGTGAGTTTTGTGAGGTCGACGTTAGCAGAGTCAAGCAAGATTGGCGCTTTGTGTTCTGCGTGCGTCGTGCAGATAGCTTGCCTTCACCATTGGGAGAACAGCTGACATCATACCATCCCCGATCCTCGTATCCGTGATCTGCCGAGTGCTCATGCGTAGAAGAAAGCCCTGTCTGCACGTGGATTTTCAGGCACTAGAGGTCATGGAAGACCTTCGCCAGGAGCCATTGTAATGCCATGTGTTCTCTACTTCTCTACCTATTTTGGCTGGCTGCATTTATTGCTACTTCATATTTTCTACAGCCACCTTTTGGCGTGGAGTTTTAGGTCCTTATACAGCCATGTAGCGTTATCATAGTTCAAATCCTTTAGAAACCATCAATAAGTCACTGATCGTGGTTACTCTTTCATAATTTTTCATGGTGCTCTTTAGCCAAGCATGGCCCTTGTCCCATTAAAACTCTCATATTATCATCATTTCCATAAAAATACCACATTTTCACATCTGCTGTTTTTTACGGTCCTTACAGCCTCTTATTGAAACAATTTTCAAGCCCATGCTTGAAGGAGTCAATAACTTCAGCACCATGTCGTACGAAGAAGCATGAACTTACCCCATTATTGTGACTGTTATTGGGCATAGGGTACAATGTAGGGTAATAAAAAAAGCTGTGTAGGGTAATTTCACAGTGATGTAGGGTGTTTTGGCTGGCAACATAGCTCTGTACTCGCTCGAATGCACTGAAACAGCATATCTTTGTATGCTGGGTGCCAGGAGACCGTGAGGTGGAAGAAAATGTGATGATAAGACTATCCACTCAAGCATGGGCAACTCATCCGTGGTTGTTTCTGCAATGGGTTTTGGGAAGAAGGTGATCTTCAAGATCTAGACTACGCGTGTATATGTCTAATGTAGATACCCCTCTGTGTGATTAATGAAACGAGCCACTTACCGTGCTTCATATTCTGGCAATTGCTCCACTTCACCTTTCCATGTTTATTGGCAGAGAACCACTTTTCAAATATGAATCGATAGTTTTCACATCATATGTCCAAGTGGACTGTAGGGTAACCTCTTATTAGAGGCTGTCGCTGCGGTAGCTGTTTCAAGAAAATGCACAAGCCTCCCATTCTTTGCTGTCAAGGGCCGTGATGAGGCATTACGTGTGATATAATTCTCTTTTAGCAATATAATCTTCAGTGCCATAACTTTAATCGTATATACACTTGTTTTATGCACTCGTGCGTCTGAATATTTTAGGCCTCTATGTACATCTTTCATTGTGAAGTGCTGGTCACCGTGATTTGGCGACTCACAGACATGGCACTTTTTGGCCATTCTTTGGCACTTGTGCCAATTAATGCAAATTTGTTAGATGCACTCGCCTCTTTCTTGTGTGCTAAGAGAGGCCATTAGTATAGGCAGGCTATATCATGAACATGTTCTTGGGTGCCATTACAGTTTTTTTTTTCTTGTGTGTGCAGCAACACCTTTCAACCGGTGCAAGGCCACATTCTATCTGGTTTTTGACTTCTGCGAGCATGATTTGGCAGGCCTGCTGAGCAACATCAATGTCAAGTTTTCATTGGGTGAAATCAAGAAGGTGATGCAACAGCTTCTCAATGGCCTCTACTTCATTCACAGCAATAAGGCAAGTACTTTCAAGTGTGTTGCCATTCCTTGGTTTTAAGCTTTGTATTTTTGGCATGTACTGTGGATGGATGGTTTCAGTTGCGAGTTTCAGTGTGTTAACTGTTTTTATATGCGCCCCTGATGCTGCCATGAATTTGGCTTAAAAGAGGCTGTTGACCGCCTGAAAATTTTTTTTTTATTTTGATGGAAATAGGAAAATTATTTGTCACATTGGTGGCTATGAGCGTGCTTTGTCAAGGGATGCAAACAGCTGCACCAGAACTATAAAATTTGTCGAAAGTGTGCCACGCAGCCACAAAATACCTGGCTAACCTCTAAAGTTTCTCAGTTGTGCTAATTTCAGTGAGAAATTGAGGCCACATTAGCCACTTGTAGATTACATCATCAATCCATGGAACCAGGCGTGCTGACCGTAACAATAAACTACGATGTGAGATACTCCTTAGGCTAGGAAAGGCGATCGACCAGATAAAGCAACAGTGCTGCGTGCCATTTTTTTGTTCACCGCAGCAGATACCTATCGGCGAGGTGACGCAATTTCTAGGCGAAAATGCGTTGCCGTAACCCGCAACACTTCGTGGGAAATATGAATTTTCTAGTCAGCAAATGTGGTTATGGCACATTATGAACTAAAGCTGGAAGCGCATGCCGCAGTTACTTAGTGCAAATAAACTCGACGTGCTGCGAACGCCGGCTTCTACTTAGTTGCCATAGTAACGAAACTTGCTATAAGTATCCGGTGCCGTCGCAGGGCGAACAGGCGCATGCAGTTGTTACTTTAACTAGTCAAACATGCCGCGCAAGCAAGCTGAGACGTTTTGCCCTAAACCCAAACACATCGTGAAAAAAAGGGGGGGGGGGGGGGACTGGGTGGAGGGTGTAGCGGATTGAAAATTTCTTGGCCTTGTTCTAGGCCGTGCAGGGCGCTGCTTAAGCCACCTTTGCTGCAGTACACCAGATGTTAGTGAAAAAGCCTTTTAGGATTTGAATGAAATGTTGTTAGCATTAGTTCTGGGACGCATCACAATTTGTTCAGTTAATGATGCGTTTGTACGCTGCATGACTTTGAGTATAATATGATCACCGGCATGAAACAAGTTACTGGCAATCATTTGGAGCACGTATGGCATTTCTGCAGTCCTATCAAGATTAAGAAAACTTTTTTTTTTTACCATCCCGGCTCTCTGCTTCTACTTATCTCCCGTATCTCAAGGTCACAAGCTTGGAAGATCCATATTTGAATCTTTGCAGTCTGTCAACAGATTTTACAGGTGTGGCAAGTGTTTATTGAAATGTTTATTGAAATAGCAGCGCTCATATTCATTCTGCATAGTTTAGGGTATTTTGAATGGTTTGTACATATTTTTATTGTGAATGTAAGCCTTCTTTTTCATATGGCTACAAATTTAGTCTGTGATAAAAAAAATGGATGGTTTTTTTCTCCCCATAACCTGCTCGAAATTTGGATTTTAGTGCTTCAAAGGTAACATTTTGCTGCTTCAAAAATTTCTTCAGATTCTATTTGACTGTTTGACTCCTGTTTGTCCAATAAAATAGGAATTGCCGTATTTACTCGTGTAATGAACTCACTAGGAAAATAATTGCACCCCCAACTTCAGTCATCAAAATGTAGATTTTTTTTTTTTTTTCCACGTCACAAAGGCACCCCGCACATTCTTCGGCTGCAGTCCCACAAACCGACACCTGGCACCTCCTTATCTGTTCGATCTTTTCTGTTTTTTATTGCGCCGGTCCCTCTCGGCCACTTCCACTCGCTCCCTCTTTCTCTTTGCCTGCTGTCGCGGGCCATATTTAAATTTTTTTTATCTGTGCGTTGCACGTCCCCAGTCTTTTTGAAATATTTTAGCATCATAGCGGGGTTCACGAACGGTGCAATTGTAAAGACATCGCAGTTAACAAGCACACAGCGAGCGAAAATCGTGAAACTGACCACACCAACCAATGGTCGCTTCTGCAAATACGAAATTCTAAGGCATGCGATTTTCGCGCGTCGATGGCATGGTTTGTGGTCATCATAGCTATCGCAAAGGGCAATTCATTTCCATCGTGTCGCAGGTTTCTGGAAAACAAGAAAAATCGCTGATCACCTAGAAAAGAGTGCGAGTGGGACGACTTCCACAACATGGTAGCACCCTTTATTCTCGCTTAGGTTCAAATTTTCTCTTGCTTCATATCCGGGGGTACTTTAAGGAATGAATGCAAGATATAGGCTACCTTTTCTGCAGTCACTTCTCATGTGGACAGCAAGGCGGCAGCTGTATTGTCATTAATCTTGTTATTTACAGCTTGTTTTGATGCTTCGGTGGTAGCTTGCTGCAGTGTTAGTTACTTGCTGCAATGTCGGTTACTTGCTGCAATGTCAACGGCGTCATTGTGGTCGTCATGTGAGGTTGCCACGGAGTTAAGAAAGTGCGTAGTAGCGTCCGCAACGACACACTGTTGTGGTTAAACGACTGCGAGAAAAGAAAGCAAAAAATGCTTTTATGTATTCTAATAACAGCGCGACAACTGTAGGAAATGACAAAAGGGAGAGGAAAGAGCACTGTCTCTTCCTACAGTTGTCGCGCTGTTACTAGAACACAACTAAGATGAACCAACTCGCCCAAATTGAGCTCCTGTTGCTTTTATGAAGTGGACGGTTGTTGCGGGTGGCATGGGGACAGCTTGCAGATGATAGCGCCATCAACCATTTATGAGGGAAGTGCAGGGGTGCAACAGCTGCACCGATTGCACCAAATTGATACAATTACGAGGGGTGAGACAGCTGTGCATATTGTGCATTTTTGATATGTTTGCGTTTTCTTGTGGTAAGCTGCCCCAAAAAGATAAAAATTGCGAAAACTGCTCCGAACTGCTCCGAAACAACAAAAATTTTGCTGCCAACCTAAGTTTATCTGAGCGAGAGTGTTAGCTCTCACTCAGATGAACTAACAATGACGCGCACCTATCGGTTCGCTGACCGCTGCTGATATCTATCAGTGGGACGAGGCAACTTGACAAAAATGCATTGCCATAGTTAGCAACACTTCGCGGGTCAGAAAATGCAGTCACGGCGGGTTAGGAACTAAAACTGGAAGAGTGTGCTACTGTTAAAGCGCGCAAACAAAATCGATGTGCTGCGAACGCCGGCCTTGCTGGCAACCACATAGGTTGCCATAGCAGGCACGTACGATAGATGTGCAGTGCCGTTGCCAAGCCAATGGGTGTGTTCTGGTGTTATCTCATCTAGTCAAGCACGCCTTGCAAGCGAGCTTAGAAGTTGTACCCTAAACCTAACTCCATCCCCAAATAAAAGGGAGGAGGGGGGAGTGTAATGGTTTAAACATTTTTTAGCCTTGTTCTAATCCGTGCAGAACGCTACTTAAGCCACTTTCGCCGCAGTACACGTGTGGTCTGCGGAAAAGCATTTTAAAATTTGGAAGGGGCTGTTAGCACTATTAACTGGACATAGCACAGTTGGTTCAATTACTCATGTGTGTATACACCACGTAATTGTGAGGACTAATATATTTGCTGATGTCAAAAATGTTGCTGGCAATTCATTAGACGCTGTATGTAATCGCTGCAGCCCGAGAAAATGAAAGAAAACTGTGAGCCACCTCCTTTTTTTTTCTTTTTTTTTTGTTACCTCTACTGCTCAGTTTTACGAGTCTCTCAAATCTCAAGGTCTCCAGCTTGGCAAATCCACATTTCAATCTTCAAGTTCTGTCAAAGGATTTGACAGGTGTGGCAAATGCCTATGTCCACTTTATGATTGTTTGCCAAGTACTGGTTCAAAATACATCTCTTGAAATAGCAGTGTTGATATTCACTCTGCAGCATTTAGAGGATGTAAAATTGTTTATGAATTTTTTTAGATACTTCTTTTTCATACCGCTCCAAGTGTGGTCTTTCGTGATAAAAAAGGAGTGTTATTTTTCCCCGTGACTTGCTTAAAATTAGCATTTTTCTGCTCCAAAAGTAACATTTTGCTTCTCTGAAAATTGCTCCAAATTCTATTTCGGCTGTTGCACCCCTGGAAGTGCAACAAAAAAGCTCTTTCCAAATAGCGTACGCGTATGTCAATTGCGGAAAGTTAAGTGACCTAACATTTTTTCGCGTTACCGCATTATTGCTTATCCCGAAAAAGTTTCCACAAACTTTGCATCGATTTTCTGGGGAAAAAAGTTTGTTAATTGCTGGAGTATATACGGTGTAGTTTTAATTTGGTTCTGAAAGTCGTGAAAGTACGACTGCTAGCATCGCCTGACGGCAGCGTGGTTCAAGCTATTTGCAGGACCAAAAAACACTGCATGTTGAATTATTTTGCTTGAAAATCAAGTTGCATAGCTTGAAATTGCACTCTATGCACTTTTGGCAGCTTCTGATGCGGAAGAATAATTTTAGCATTTTATTTTCTCACGTGTTGAAAGAGGCTATTTTCTAACGTGTTGAAAGAGACACTCGGTTGTACTGTTGGCGCTGCGCTCACTTGCCCGCCTACCGCATAAAAACACAAGTATCGCATGCGGTGCTGCTCAGAAGAAAATATCGAAAACATTTGAACACAACTGTAAAACAATGAGGACCTCTTCTGTAAAGCAGGTCTCATGTTCCTTGTAGTCGCACGTTTCCCCATGAATAATCCACTTCAGTTTGTTTTCACAATTTGGTGTACCAGTGTTGCTGGAGCACACCAAGTTTTCCACTATACAGCGGTGATTTTTCCGGCCAACTTAGAAAAGCTTAGAAAGAACTCTGTAATAGCACTTTATTTGGCAGTTTACAAGCTCTAAACTTCCATTACGCTAATCATTTTATTAATAAACAAAACATAAATGAGCCTACAAAAACTGAACTTAGTTTTTGTTTTGGACTTTCACCGATGCAATCATAGTCATGGCGTGTAGTAACCAGTGTTTGCTAGCGTCTTCATGCCAATAGATGGCGGAACGTAGATGGAAAAAGTTGTATTAAATATTTTTACTCGCTTACCAGATTGCTGCAGGGTTGGACACTTCAGACAGTGCGCTTTGTATTTCGACACAAAACAGAAAAGAATAAAGCATGTAGACAGCCTTTTTAAAAATCTGTGTAACTTCCTTTTTCCAGTAAAGCTATGATTTTTCACATTTTTTACGAACTAATGTGTGTGTGTTGCGGTGATAAAAAAGGCAGGGTTGTGACCCTCTGCCACACCCGTTTAACTTGTGATGATGGCCGACCGGGAAAGTTTTTTGTATGGGAAGGATAAGCAAGCCCAGCATCAAACTTTGCTTTGCTACCTGACAGTGCTCTACTCAAAAAAAAAAAAAAAGACTCTTGTAACTTGTTCTGTGGCCCTTGTGGTGGTTGTGCTTGATTAACATGCTCTGCAGATCCTGCACCGTGACATGAAGGCAGCGAATATTTTAATCACCAAGGCTGGTGTGCTGAAGCTGGCCGACTTTGGGCTGGCTCGGGCCTTCTCCCTGAGTAAAACGGGCCAGCCCAATCGTTATACCAACCGGGTGGTCACGCTGTGGTACCGTCCACCTGAGCTACTGTTGGGCGAGCGCAACTACGGCCCTCCCGTAGACATGTGGGGTGCAGGCTGCATCATGGCCGAAATGTGGACCCGCTCACCCATCATGCAGGGCAACACAGAGCAGCACCAGATCAGCCTCATCAGTCAGCTGTGCGGCTCACTCACACCCGATGTCTGGCCCGGCGTCGAGAAGCTCGAGCTGTACGCCAAGCTCAACCTTCCCAAAGGACAAAAGCGCAAGGTCAAGGAGCGTCTCAAGGCATGTTCATTCTCACTCGCTGCTTTCAAATAATCAGAGTTCGGGATATGCAGGCCACAAAGCTTCTTGTTGGATTCAGGGCGAATGAAGTCAACGTCTGAAAAAAATGTCTGTACATTTTTTATTTTGCTCAAGTAGTCACGAGTCCTTGTACTAACTACTGAAACGTGTATATATAGTGTGAGATAAATACCATATTTACTGTTTAATTCTCGCACTCGCATAATTCCCAACAAAAATGTGATTTTTGCCTCGAGTAATTATCGCACCCCCAATAATTACAGACAGAATGTCGTCTGCTCGTAAATTATTAACGACGGTGCACTAAAGTCCCTGAAAATAACTACAAAGTAGTGCCATTCGTGTCACCGTGAATGCTCCTTCTCTCCCCATGCCTTGGCAGGCCAATTGCCATCCTGTCTGTCCTCGGTTTTTCTTTTGCTTTCACGGCGACACCGGCAAGGCGCTGCACCAGCTTACGTGACTCCGTTGTGCGCCGGAAGAGGGTGTGCCTGTGTCTGTAGTTTTTTGTTGCACATTGTAGGGGCGCCATCGCTTGAGCATTATGCATACTATCAATGCATGGAGCCGCAACCCAAGCCATGCCAAAGTGGCAACTGCGCGTCGCGGCGTGTTAGTGTACCATATTTACTCGCGTAACGAACCCACTCGCATAATGAACCCTTGAAAAAAGGTCCTTGAAATTGTCCTTGAAAAACAAATCCTTTTTAAATGTATCTGTTCATTTTATTTCGATGTGATAGTCAGTGCGGTTGATGATGGAAACAACGTTAAATCAAGCCATTATATCGCAAAATAACACAGCAAAAGTAAAAACATAGTTTCACAATCCTGCTAAACCGTTATCAAAATTTGGAAGTCGTGGCTTTTGTGGCAAAGCGCCATCTGTCGAATTCAGGAGAAACCTCTTTGCTGATGGTGTCACGCAAGCACAGCGGCATAAAAACAAAGCAAAAAACAATGTGGTTGACCTCCAAAATGGCGGACGCCGCGTGATATTTACGCCTCGTTACGCATATGCTCCTCGCTTTTCAAGGTCAGTAGAGTACAGTTAAAAACCAAAAAAAAATCTACATCGTGGCATTGCATTGATTGCTTTTTTTTTTTTTAAGTTGTTGGGGTGGGGAAAGCTGCGTCGCTTGAAAGGTGCAGTTGCTGACACGCGCTATATCTCGAGGCATAATGAGACTGCTTGTAAACTTTCTGTGCAACTAATCTCCGCTTCGCGTTTCGCACGACTGACAGCACAAAAATTGTTTTGACTGCTGGAGTGCTCATTGTCCCTTTAGTTAGTGTTTTTTTCACTTGCGTGACATCGGGTCTAGCAGATACAATTTTTTACTATCACATAAGCTCTTAGCAGTGCGTGCGATACCAACAAATTGTATTTTTACACCAAATAATAAGGCTTGACGTCATTTGCAAAGTACACTAGCGGTGGCGTTGCCATTTCGGAGGTTCGCGCACTCGCAGAAAACTTTCTGCACGTGCGGTGTTCAATATTTGTACAGCGACTTGGATGACTAGAGATCCTTGGAACATCCCTTGCATGCCGTCTGGCGCTTCAGAGTTGTATAGAGCGCCAGCCGGTTGCTCTAGCTTCCGTAAGTTTTTTTTTTTCAGAAATATGTAAAGAGAGACGCTGTAATTGTGTCAAGCATGGTCATACCGCTTGTTAAGTCCTTGTGCTATAATGTAGGCATCAACGGAAGTCTGTAGCTAATGTGGGATAGAAGCCTCTTAATGTCTATAAATGCCTATTTTTGGTCTTCGTGCCTAAATGCCTATAAGTGCCTATAAATGCCTATTTTCCAAATCAGCGCCTATAGCATGCTATTTAAGCTTAAATTTTGTTTCCGAGCACGGTTGAAACCGTTATTCATGTAAAAAGGCAACATTGATATTTCCAAACACTACATGTAAAGTTCATAGAAGTCCTCTAGTTCTAGCAACTTCTGCAAAACAACCGTTAACCGCAGTGAAATTGCACTCGCTTACCATCATATGCCACAGCTGACATGCTGTGAGCGATTAGAGGAGGAGCATGAGGAGTGCAAAAGACACTATTTCTGCAGCCCTAAGTGGAAGCACGTCTCAGCATCTGCAGGGCAATGAGGAGAGAGAATTAAAGACGGATAAGAAAACTGGAGTGGCGTCTATTGCCGAGGATTTGGCGACCGTTTTCTACAGACAGCTGTCCAGTGTCCTGAAGCAACTGAAGAACCGCCCTGAAAGCGTGGGTGTTGCGGTGGGAAAGGATTGGCAGGTTTTTCTGTGCAACTGCGGGCAGGTGAAGAACGAATGAAAAACCATAAAGGGCCACTCATGGAATGATCATTTTGATTCAGTGGTGGTGAAGACTGCCAATTTGCTATACTTTATACAGCAAAGCCTGAGACATACGCTGGAATGTTTATAATCAGCGGTGTATTTAGCATACATTCATCCTATGCCTGAATACGCTAATACGCTTGTGCCATATGAGATCTATTGGCATATGTATTTAAGTGAGAAACATGAAGAAATACAGAACAGGGGTGCAAGGTTTGTCCCCAAGCCAGTGCTCAAAAAATGACAGCTGTACTAATATAAAAAATGAACTAGGATGGGAATTACTATCATTGTGTTGAAATAAACTGCGGTTTAAATTAAATCAAAGTTTATTTACATCTTGAAAGATGTGGGCATGCTTGGGCGAAAAGCGAAACAATTCGCTTGAAAGCCCAAGCCCCCGTGTACAAGGCATACAATCGGGAACCAAGCACATGCAAATACTAGTACAAAACCAAATGTAGTAGAAATAACACAAACATTGTCTTGAAAATCAATTAAGAAACTATTGCTAAAAATCGGAATTAAAACCATTGCGGTAAATACACGAAGAAAAAAAAATGAGGCAAAAGAAAGTAATGTGACCATTGACACCATTGTTTCTATAATATCTACGATCAAAATGTAGAGAATTTGTGTAAATAAGTACCACGAGGCAATTGTAAAGCAAAGTGGTTTATCACTGATTAATGCAAATCTAACATTCCTTAGTACAGTATTTATTCGTGCATGAGATTACATAGAAAAGTATTCCTTTATATTCTTTATAGTGCATTTTTCTATTTCGCTACTCCGTAGATTGTTGAGCAAGTGAGGCAAACAATACCCTAACATCTGTCTTCCATATTCAGTTCGGCAAAAGGGAATGGTCCAGAAGTTTTGTTTTCGCAGAGAATAAAAAGGGACATTTCCACTACACGCAAGACTTATGAGGTCATGTTGATATTTATAAATTGATTTTTTTTTTGTATTTTATAGCTAATTTCAAGTCAAACAAGTAATGTGCGGGTACAACATTGAAACAAACAAGCAAATCCCTTGTGTGCGCACGATATTCAACGTTTGCTATGGAACGAAGAGTCCTTTTTGTAACATAAGTATTTTATGGTTGTTTCTTTGTGTGAAATTTCACCACACCAAAAAACAGTAATTAATATGTGACAAAATAAGCGTATTATAAAACATTAGTTTTATCGATACAAGCAGGATGTGTCAAAATTTTTCAATAACCCACACTTTTAGCCACGCGAGATGGAACGAAGTCAAAATGATCGTCTCGAGACACATTTTTTTGAAACAGCACACCTAAAATTTTTATGGAATTTACAATTTCGATAGGCACCCCACCTAGAAGTAAGGGACTATCAATGGTGACACAAAGTTTACGCGGATGAAAAACAGCCGCCTTCGTTCTGCCGTAATATATCAACAGAGAGTTTTCTTTACTTCACTTTTCTATGTCTTCCAGTGCTTTGTTTTTTTCAAGCGTTAAACATTGCAAGTTTTTCCCAGTAAAAAATAGGCTGGTGTCATCAACGTAAATTACGTAGGTGGGTGTTTTTTGATAGTGTTTATGTTGTTTATACAGTGGAACATCAATTATACGCCCTCGGTTTCGCGACGACCTGCATTTTATGACGAGTCGGTTTGGTTCCGGCAAAATTCCCATAGAAACAATGTATTAAAAACCTTGGTTATACAGCACAGTTTTATGTCGTCCCCGCATCATACAACGACTTTCATATTCCGTCGGAAAGAAAAAAACCACCTCTACTAGAACTTATAATGGAATAATTGGAAGCGCAAACCAACAGCACACAAGAGAAGAAACAAACAAGCGCAGACTGAAACTCAGTTTATTCAGAGAAGTTATATACCAGAAAGATGAGAAAGGGAAACAACTGGGGAGAAAGTTCCACCTTGATCAGGTGTCGTCCAGAAACGATAATTCACAATCTAACAGTGATATAGACGGTGAACTAACATAACTATCAATATTCTTTTTAATAAAAAAAGCTTCCGCAATCTCTCTAGTTTTCATGTCATGATGGCTGTACAAAATAGACGTGCGCGAAAAATCAGGTACGCAGCCACACTTTTTGCAATGGGCGAATAAATGTAAACCCGGGGCTGATTTCAGCGCGTTGTAGTGTTCTCGCAGGCAAATATTCAAGCAGCGCCCAGTCTTCCCAATGTATAACCTGCCGCAAGACAGTGGGATACAATAAACGACATTAGATCGACATTTGGTGAAGGAATTGACATGCTTGACACCACAACCTTTCTTCATAAGACCTGCTTTTATTCTGCTTTGTAATTCAATTCTAGAACACATTTGCTGCAGTCTTCCACGTGCGGAAAACACAACGTCGGGGTTGAATTTTTTTTGCACATTTTTTTATCTTATGCGAAAATTCGTGCACATATGGGGCTACCGCAAACTTACGTCGTTTATCTCCCTAGCACAAGGTAATCATCCACATCTCTGAAGACAATAACTACGAGGCTGCCTAGTGCAGTTTGCAAAGCCCTATCAAAATAACTTAAGAATATATCGCACAGGACCGGTGCAACACGGGAGCCGATACAAATGCCAGACTTTTGCACGTAATACCTATTGCCCCATAATACAAGAGCAGAATTCACAT